CCCCATTCTCTCTCTCTCTCTCTCTCTCCCTCTCTCCCCCCCTCCCTCTCATGACTGAAAATCGAATACGATGATTTACGAGCTCTTTGGGATTTAGTTAAAAAAACATAACGTAAGAGCGACAAATAAACTCTCAGAGAGTGACTGTTTTGCGAGTGCGCGAAGTATGATAAAGGAGAAGGGAAAGGAAGGGGAGAAAAGAGAAGAAAGAGAGGAAACGGAGAAAGAGGAGGAAGAGAAGGAGGAGGAGGAGGAGGAGGAAGAAGAAGAAGAGGGGGAGGAAGAGAAGGAGGAGGAAGAGAAGGAGGAGGAAGAGGAGGAAGAAGAGGAGGAAGAATAGGAGGAGGAGGAGGAAGAGGAGGAGGAGGAGGAAGAAGAAGAAGAGGAGGAGGAGGAGGAGGTGGTGAAGGAAAATGTTGAAGGATGAGGAGAAAGAGGAGGATGAAGATGGTGGAGGTAAAGGAGGAGAAGGAGGAGGAGGAGGAGTAAGAGAGGTAAGAGGAATGAGGAGGTGTAGGAGGAGGAGGAGGATAACGGTGAAGGAAGGGGAAGAGGAAGAGGAGATAGATGAGGAGGAGAAAGGGAGGGAGGGAGGGAGGGAGGGAGGGAGGGAGAGGGAGAGGGAGAGAGAGAGAGAGAGAGAGAGAGAGAGAGAGCGAGAGAGAGAGACAGACAGACAGACAGAGAGAGAAGAAACCCAAAGTGAAGACAAGGAATAAGGAGAAAGAGAAGAAGAAGAAGAAGAAGAAGAAGAAGCAGCAAGAAAAAAAATAAGACAAGGAGATTAATGCGGCTGAGTATGATGATGATACGAACAGAACTAGCATTGGCGGGACTAGCCGAGGCGATGAACTTAGCACATGCAAAATATGGAAATCTAGGTGAGAAAAATAAGTAGGGAAAAAAAATGCGACTTGTAGAGACTGTCACGTACAGTTGGGGGGGCGGGGTGCTACGAAGATCTCTTTTGATCGCGTATGCATGTCCAAGGTAATATGAATAAAATATGAAGAAACGAATACGAATATACTCGAGTACAAAATAATTAAAAGACACACACACTCACACACACACACACGCACACTCCCGCTCTCCCTCCCTCTTTCTCTTTCGTTCTTTATTTCTTTTCTATCTCCCTCTCTCTCTCTCTCTCTCTCTCTCTCTCTCTCTCTCTCTCTCTCTCTCTCTCTCTCTCTCTCTCTCTCTCTCTCTCTCTCTTACACAGACACACACAGACACACACACAGACACACACACACACAACACACTCCCCCTCTCCCGCTCTCTCTCTCTCTCTCTCTCTCTCTCTCTCTCTCTCTCTCTCTCTCTCTCTCTCTCTCTCTCTCTCTCTCTCTCTCTCTCTCTCTCCCTCTCTCTCCCTCTATCTTACACACACGCTGATCCCCTCCCTTCAACCCCCCACTACGAGACCCCCTACCTCTGACAATGACGTCACCCTACAAGAAGGTCCCAGCAGCACCCACCGTGTCTCTAGCCTTACCATAATCCGTATATATTTACAACACCACGATTTCACCTCCTGATGTACTGCCCTTATGATTATCCTCCTCCCAAAAATCCGTTTCCTAAATGTCCCTCTTATCATTGAAAAGAAGGAAGAAAGAAGAGAAAAGGAATAAAAGAAAGAAAAAAAGGGGAAAAATAGAGTAAAGTAAGATTTAGCATGCCACTCAAACCGAACATCGTGACTTGGGTTAGCAACTCTTGCGTCTTGCAATGCAACAGGAAGCCTTGCCCTATGGTTAGTAGTTTCACCATAATAACAGTTTATTATCATTATTATTAGGGAAAGCAGAGATCATAAACAGTAAGTTATAAATCATGGTGACTCATATGACGAGGAGCATATCTGAGGTGGCCATTATTATGGGGTTTGAGGTGATGTTGCTGGTTAGGATGAGGAGGAGGAGGAAGAGGAGGAGGAGGAGAGGGAGGAAAAGGGGAGGGAGGGATGAGGAGGGGGAGGAGGGAAGAGGAGGGGGAGGGGGGGGAGGAGGAGGAGAGGGAGGAGGAAGAGGAGAAGCAGAAGTAGGAAGGGAGAGGGGAAGGAGGAAGAGGAGAAGAAGGAGGAGGAGGAGGAAGAGGAGAAGAAGGAGGAGGAGGAGGAAGAGGAGGAGGAGGAAGAGGAGAAGAAGGAGGAGGAGGAGGAAGAGGAGAAGGGATTGCGGAAGTGAAGAGAAGGAGGGGGGAAAGGGAAGCGAAGATGGAAAGAAAACGAGAGTAAGAAAAAGATGAAGAACAAGAAGATAAAAATGTGAGCAAAATTTTGATGGAAGAGGAGGAGGATCATACGACGAAAAAAAAATAAATGAAACGAAGGAGGGGAACAGGCTGGAGAAGAAAAAGGAAACAACAATAAAGAGGATGGGGACTATGAAGAGGAACAAGAAGAAGAAAGAAAAGAAGAAAGAGGAAACGAGAAAGAGGAACAAGACTAAGAAAAAGATAAATAATGAAGACGAAAGCTAAGAAAGCGAAGTAGGAGTGAGGAAGAGAGGGAGAGAGGAGGAGGAGGGGGGGGGGGTGCAAGCGGTGAATGGCCGCAGTGTAGCAAATTGCCGGCTAATGCAAAGGTTGCAAACACTGCCGCACTTATCACCTTTACCTCTTGCCAATGTTTCCGAAATATTCAGAAATCCAACTTTCATACAAGAACCATATGTAAATGAATGAATAAATGCGTGTGTTTCTATAAACATGTGTGCGTATATATATATATATATATATATATATATATATATATATATATATATATATATATATATATATATACATATATATATATATATATATATATATATATATATATATATATATATATACACATATATATATGTGTGTATATATATATACACATATATATATGTGTGTGTGTATATATATATATATATATATATATATATATATATATATATATATATATATATATATATGTATATATATAATATACATATACTATATACACATATAAATATACATATGTGTATGTATGTATGTATGTGTGTGTGTGTGTGTATATATATATATATATATATATATATATATATATATATATATATATATATATATATATATGTCTAAATATACATATGTCTAAATATATATATATATATATATATATATATATATATATATATATATATATATATATGTATATATAAATATATACACACATCCACACACACACACACATATATATATGTATGTGTGTGTATGTATGTATGTGTATAAATGTATATGTATAAGTATATGTATACATACATACATGCGCGCGGGTGTGGGTGTGTGTGTGTGTGTACATATACATTTAATATATATATAAATATGTATATATATGTATATATGTATACATGTATATATATACATATGTATATGTGTATATGTATGTGTGTGTGTGCGCGTGCGTGTGTGTATATATGTATATATGCATACATATATATACAGTATATACATAAATAAATACATTTACACACACACACACACACACACACACACACACACACACACACACACACACACACACACACACACACACACACACACACACACACACATATATATATATATATATATATAAATATATATATATATATAAATATATATATATATATATATATATATATATATATATATATATACACATATATACATATATATATATTTATATATAAATAACTGTGTAACCCGGCGCAAAAAGAGCAAAGTTGAAGGGAACACGTGGCTTGAGTGATAGGTTAAAGTTGGCCGGACGAGCGAGTAAACATTTAGGAAGGAACTGAGCTGAAGGGGTTTTCTGCGTCTTTCACTCAGCCTTTGGTTTTGTTCGGATGTTGGGTTATCCGTTTGTCTTCCTTTTCTGTGTTTTTTTTTTTTAGTTTTTTTGTCTCGCTCTCTCTCACGTCTCTCTCTCTCTCCCTCCTGTCTCTCTGTCTCAGTCTCTGTCTCTCTTTCTCTCTCTCATACACCCAGACAGATAGACAGTGTGTGTATGTGTCTGTACACACACACACACACACACACACACACACACACACACACACACACACACACACACACACACACACACACACACACACACACACACGCTCAGTCCAAAACCACTGTCACTTTTTAACCCCCTCTGCAGCGCCTCCCCCCCCCCTCCCTCCCATCCCCACCATTATAAGTACGAACACAAATGTGTCATTGATCCAGCTGGCTAACACCTGCTGATGGTTGCTGTGGCCAACATCTGCCCGTACGAGTGTATATTCTCAACACCTGCCGGCTGCTAGTAATAGCTGACCTTGCTAACAGAAATAAAGGAAAGAGAGGTTGATAGAGGAGGGGGGGGGGGGGGAGTCAGGGAGAGAGAGTCTGAAGGAAGGAGAGAAATGGGGGGGGGGGGGGGGGGCATACAGAGACAGAGACAGCGAGACTATAATGCACACCTTTCATACATCTCAATTGCAGAAAGCAATAATATCCAACCGGCTTCAAGTCCCAGCTAAGGACGTCCGAGGGAGAAATTACCACAGGGAAGCAAGCAAGCACAGGGTCAAGGAGTGATGGAAATTCCCGTTCTTATATTTCACTGGAGAATCCCAGCGCTTCCTCCTTAGCCGGCCCTCCCTTCCCCTCCTTTCTTTATCACCTAAAAGTGTCTTAATGGCTGTCTGGGACCGTCATTCAATACCCGTCTGATTTACAGTACGGTTAAGTGTTGGTCTCTCATCAAAAGTGTGACTGAATGATCGCACAGCTGAAGATGGTCAGTTTAAGTTTGGGTTCGTTTCTCTTCTGTGATAAGTGATGATAGATATCTCTTAGAGATCAAATAACTATTTAAAAAAACAATATTAATATATACTCAAGCCATAATAAGCTCCTTTCTATCACTGCGATCTTAAATTTTAATATCATTATCTTTATGAGTTTGGCAAATGATATTCTATAAAAGCAAACGATATCAAAGGAAACATAAACAACTCAAAACCTACCCCGCTCTCCTGCGCCGCCCTCGTGATTCTGCGGTACTTGTAATTAAGGAAGGAGTTGCCGGCTACCATCGTCGTGATGAGAACCGCTCCTAGAATAAACGTCAGGAGGTTCGCCACGCTGATGACGTCGGAGTAGATGAGCTGTGGAATCCCGGCGAAGAGCAAGATCACGCCCACAGACCCGACGACCGAAAGCACGCACTGCGCCGACGAGTATAGGGTCGCGATGTTAACGGTGGTGAGCGCCATTGTTTTTATTTTTTTATTACACGATTTATTGTGGTCTTTTTTTTTTAAGAAATGAAGCTCAAAAGTGGATTGAAGTTGCTTTTATTACTCTTTTGTCTTCTCTTTGGAGGTTTTCCCTTCGATGTTTAACTTTATAAATACAGTTGAAGTAGACCGAGTTCAAGGTCCCCTGCTGAGTGTGTCTCCGACAGCAAGGAAGCGAAACATCACAAAACAAGACATGTCTGCTCGTGTTGGCCGTGCACTTTCCGTTTCAAAAGTTCTTTCGGTTATTATTCGAAGCTATCTGGTTTTTGGGAGGGTGTAGTTTCCCCCAAAGAAAATCTTCAACGGCCGCAGGTATCCCCGTGATTCTGAAAGATAAATATGCCCTCATTAACATATGTTCAGGTGTTCTTTTTCATAATCAACAAATTGTTATTTCCAACTGATGCTTCCAAATTTGACATCTGCATACATATATACATTCACACACACATACTTGTGGTAGAAAAACCCACAATGTACAAACTAGATTTACCGAAAATGAGACAACAGTTTCGAAATGAGATGAAATCCAGTATTACGAAGCTGTTGTCTCATTTTCAATAAATCTAGTTTCTTTCATAATCTCAACATGGTAGAGTGTTTTACAATTCATATGTGTGTGTGTGTGTGTGTCTATACACATATATATACACACATGTATATGTACATACATATATATATATATATATATATATATATATATATATATATATATATATATATATATATACACACATATATATGCATATATATACATATAGATATATATGAAAAGGAAAACAGCTACAATGAAAAATGAAATTAGATCATAACGTTTCGGACGCAAGAGTTCCTCATTAGACAAATGAATAATAGAAATGGAATCCATTTCGGTTATATTGTCGTCTAATGAGAAACTCTTGAAGAGATCAAAACGCTATGATCTAATTTCATTTTTCATTGTGGCTGTTTTCCTTTTCATCTTTGTGTACACGTTACTGTGTCTGTTCATATATATATATATATATATATATATATATATATATATATATATATATATATATATATATATATATATATATATATATATATACATATATTCATATGTATATATATATATACTGTGTATGTAAATATATATATATATAAACATGCGTATATACATACATATATATGTATGTGTGTGCAATAAAAAGATATGGCATATATTTATGTAATATATAGTAGATAAAAATACTACCGTACCATACTGTACCGCAGTCTTGGCTTGACTCACAAAGCAAAAACAAGTTGAAACCGGACAGTGCAGAAAATAGCATTGACAAAATCCCAAACCACACTTACTTAATGAGAAAACAGAATTAGAAATGACACTTGTAAAGCCACTCGGGTTTATCTATAGAGATTTGGTCGCCACCTTATCTAAACGTGTCTTCTATATTTTTTTTTCTAAATCTAATATCGATATTTGCGAATTCTACACACGCACACATACATACATGTGCGTGTATGTGTCGTATCCGTGTTTCAGTAAGTCATGAATCTCATTTTTCACTTTGCGGGAAGTCTTATTCACAGTAAGGAAACCACATCCGCATTGTCACTTCCTCGAGGACTCACAAATCCCAAGTCACGTGACACCCGCCCTTCACTCCGCCGAGAGGATCCACAGCATCCCTTCCTCTTTTCTTATTTTTCTTCCTTATTTCTTTTTTTTCAATCTTTCCATGGTTCTTCTGTTTTCCTACTGTCATTCTTTTTTTACATCGATTAACTTTTTTCTTCTTCTTTATCTTTCCTTCTATCCTATTCTCTTTACCTTTCTCCATTTGGTACTCTTTTCTACCCCCCACCCCCACTTACCCCATGTACTTGCGGGCAGCTGTCCGTATATCTTTGTACGTGCATGTGTCATGTACATACCCGTGTACGTAAGTGTAGGTGAGCGTGTGTCCGTAAGTGCCAGCCTCTACTCTCTTTGTTTCGACCGAGCGATAGCGGATAGCGGATAGGTGTGGCTGATAACACCGCTTGTGTCCCCATTCGTCAGCTGATGCACACACCTGCGAGTTTTGTTTTTTTTCTTCTTTTTAACAGGAAGGAAATATTAATAACGGAAACTCTGTGTTTGTGTGTATGCCACTCGGTATGTATATTACAAAATCATATTTATGTAGTAAACCTACTGATGAAAACACGATATTCTTTAGACAAGTTCTCAACGTGGAAAGAAATCCTACACCAATCCTGTGCATAGAGGGAAATCCTACCCAATCCTAAACACTGAAAATTTCTTCACCAATCTGCATAGAAAGAATGACACCAATCCTTAACACAGAAATCCTCTCTTCCAATCCTCAACATAGAAAGTAATCCTCCAACAAAACCTCCACCAATCCCCAACATAGAAATCTGAAAACCAATCGCCAACATGAGAAAACATCCTATACCAATCCCCAACATGAAAAAAAATCCTGCACTAATCCCCAACACGGAGAGAAATCCTACGGCAATCACCAACAAGGAACGGAATACTTTCCACCAATCCCCAACATGAAAACAAACCCTAAGCTACAATCACCTACATGAAAAGAAATCCTTTACACCAACCCTCAACGTAGATAGAAATCCTACACCAACCTCCAACACAGAGAGAAGTTCAAAACAGAAATCCTCAACACGGAAATAACTTCTATATTAATCCCCAACACGGAAAAAAATCCTTAACTTCATGGCAAAAACAACGGCCACACAGACACATCTTGGCTTCGTTACGGCCCCATGACTCGCCATATGACTGCCATCGGGCCATAAATCACTGGGAGTGTTGGTCCTAAGCTAATATTCTCCTTATAAGGTGTAAATGCTAAGACATAACTTTCATTTCGCACCTCTTACATGTAAAAGGACATCAAACAAATGGAAATGAAAACTGCTACTGTTGTTTCTTTCATTTCTCTATATTCATTAATTTATCATCATTATCACACTGATCATCGTTGCCATATTTTCTATGATCATTGGTATCATTGCTGTTATCATTATTATCATTATTATCACTATCACCACGGTTATCATTATCTTCATTGCTATCACTATCATTATCATTGCTATCATTAGAACCAAGGCTTAAGATGTCATCATTATAATTAAGGCTTAATATGTACAAATGCCTATAATTTTCGGCATGTCCACATCACTCTGAACAAAGCTACACGTTCACCCAAAACCATAAAGTAGCAAGACTGTTCGTGTTCAATGAAGTAGAAGTGTGGGTACAATAGGCCAGGATCAGCGGTTTACTGGACCCTGGGGAAGGGGCCATGAGTTCGACGTTCACGCAGGCGGCTACATATGTGTGGTTCATGTGGTATGTGCGGTCCCTGTTGCATAAAAGTAAACGTATTGCATGCTCCAATCACGCAAGCACACGAAGAAACACATCCTTTCGCCCATACCATTTTGTACTCACACATACATGTATTCATCTACTCAGTCACAGTAACATTAAAAATACACTCCCTGCACTCACTCAATCCGTCTCTGAAATACAGTCACTCATAACACACACATGCTTTCAGTCCCTCACAGTGACACACACTCATACACTTACTCCCACTCACATAAACATTCCTGTGGACTCGGATGATAATAATTACTGAGTATCCAACAGCTGTAAGAGGACATATAAAGTGACGTATTAGATGTATATATCTCTTATGTCACCATCTGACAAAGAAATAAAAGTAAAGAAGCATTTTCAATTTAAATCTGAAAAAAATAGAGGAATTATATTGAAGGGAATCGGATACACAAAGAATACATAAAAAGAAAGAAAGAAAAAGTAAGGATAGAAAACGGGAAATGACAATACTTCTACGTCACAGCTGCGTCACCGTCTACAAAAGTTGACAAGTTACATCAATCACCCCCCATCCCCCATCCTCCACCGCCACCCTTCCCCCCTCATTCCCTTGGAAGGATTTAGAGGAAGTTAAAAAAAAGGACGGAAAAAGGAAAGGAAGTGGAGGAATTTTGTGAGAATTGTGAGGGTGTGAGAAAAGAAAAAAAGACGACGAAAAAGGTAAAAACGAAAGAGAAAGAGAAGGAAAGTGAGAGAGGTGAGTGGGAGGAGACAAGCAACGGAAATAAAGTGTCATGAAACAAGAAAATTTAATGTCAAACAGAAATCCACTAAATGATAACAATGAAGTAAACAAACAAATATAAAAGTAGTAGAAGAAGAAGAAGATGAAGAAGGAGGAGGAGGAGGAGAAGGAGGAGAGAGAGAGAGGGGGGGGGGGGGGGGAGGGGGGGAGAGGTGGAGAGATGGAGAGGGGGAGAGAGGGAGGGAGAGAGAGGGAGAGGGAGAGGGGGAGGAGATGGAGAGAGAGAAAGAGAGAGAGGGGGGAGGGAGAGAGAGGCAGGGAGGGAGGGAGGGAAGGAGAGAGATAAAGAGAAAGAGAGAGAGAGAGGGGGGGAGAGGGAGAGAGAGGGAGGGAGGGAAGGAGAGAGAAAGAGAGAAAGAGAGAGAGGGGGGGGGAGGGAGAGAGAGAGCGGGAGAAGGAGAGGGAGAGAGAGAGGGAGAGAGAGGGGGGGAGGTGGAGAGATGGAGAGGGGGAGAGAGGGAGAGGGAGAGAGAGAGAGAAAGAGAGAGAGGGGGGGAGGGAGAGAGAGGCAGGGAGGGAGGGAGGGAAGGAGAGAGATAAAGAGAAAGAGAGAGAGAGAGGGGGGGAGAGGGAGAGAGAGGGAGAGAGAGGGAGGGAGGGAGGGAAGGAGAGAGAAAGAGAGAGAGGGGGGGGAGGGAGAGAGAGGGCGGGAGAGGGAGAGGGAGAGAGAGGGGGGGAGGGAGGGAGGGAGGGAGGGAGGGAGAGAGAGAGAATGAGAGAGAGAGAGAGGGAGAGGGGGGGCAGACCCACACAAACACACACAGTTATGATCGCCACGCTGTCTGAACGCGACCGTTGATAATCTGTTGATAACACGTGACTTGCCGTTGAACTTGTTTACAACTACCAAGGGGCGTTGTCAATGAATATCCGGCGGGCATGAGTTATTAAGGTTATTAAATTGGAATTAAGAAAATTCTCTTAAACGGAGACAACTCACACGTCCTGGAAGTCACAGTTCCACGTCAAACGGATCGCTTTTCGTGCCAGTCATAGACACTGCAGTGGGCTTTTACGTGGGCGCGGTGAGGTGGGCGTGCGGGCGTTATACGAGACAAACATCCCGTGAAAAGATAACAGGATGGGAGTGCGGGCGACAACAGGAAGCTCCAGAACGGCTTGTCATCTCTAATAACAAGGCATAAGGTAACAGCCCGCCAGCGATACTCAGGGCGGGC